TCTTAGCCACCACTCCCTATGCTCAAAACTGGGTGTAAACAATTCTGTTGAGGAAAGATAAAGAGTATGTTAACCCAACACTTCATATTCCTGATATGTGGCAGCTGTACAAGTACCATATACTTGTATGAAACAGTATCTTGTTGTGTTGCTTTCTTTGTTTGAAATAACTGGTGTTTCTGCCAGTCCCCCTGCTTTCCAATTAAAAACTGACCACACTAGATGTGAGAGCAAATCCATTCCAGCGTGGTTAGTCTTTCTGCTGTCCTGGGAACTCAGCTGCCTGTTCTCCAGTGATCAGACTGGTACCCCACCCCCCTGCACAGCCATTTACTGGAAAGGACAGTGTGTGGCTGTTTTTCCTCCCCAAGCTCACTGAGCTCCTTCTGCAACTGAGAATAAAGGGTATGTGATCACTTACTAAAAAGGAAAGAAAAAGGTATTTATACTTTTTTTTTTTTTTTGGTGTGAGTACACAAATGTTTTGCCTTTTTAATTTCTATTTTATTTTAATTATTATTTCAAATACTTATATAGTGGCGTCAATTTATGGAGCGCTTTACACATATGTATATTATTCATTCACATCAGTCCCTAACTCTCACGGATCATACAATGTAAGGTCCCTAAGTCACATTCATACATTTACTTACTAGGACCAATTTAGATAGGATACAATTAACCTTCCAACATGTCTTTGGATTTTAAACTGAATGGGTAGTTTTACAAGGTGAGGCTTCACATACACTTTAACCCCTTGACGCTTACGTAACACAAATATGCGGCCTCACAGAACTGGGCTTTTTTCTGTGGGGCCGCATATTTGCATACTTGTCTTTCTACTGGGAGCTCGCCGCACAGCATGCTCCCAGCACAAACATCGCGGTGTCGCTGAGAGCCCTGGGTCCCGTTCTAACGATCGGGACCCGAGACTCCCGATTCCGGGTCCCGGGACTCCCGATTCCGGGTCCCAGGACTCCCGATTCCGGGTCCCCCGATTCCGGGTCACATGATCGCTGTGATAGCCTCTGATTGGCTATCACAGTGATCAGTCACCGTACAGCCCAACCCCCTTGTTTTTTTTCTCTCTATGAATGGAGGAGAGAGATACATTGCATCTCTCTAACTCCTGGCATAGAGGAGAAAAAAATGTTTGTAGAAAAAAAAAAAAAAAAGAAAAACAAAATAAAAAATAAGGAAAAACACCTAGATCAAAGTTTGATCTAGTTCAGTGCCAGGGTAAGTGTTTGGGTCAGGGTCAAAGGTCAGGATTGAAAAAAAAAATTGGTGTGTGTTTTTAGGTAAAAAAAGACAAAAAAAAAATGCGCACTATTGTTTCTGGGCTGTACTACCAGTACAAATAACATACACATATATGGTATCGCTGCGATCGTCAAGAGCTGGAAAATTTATTTTGGATTGTTCTGTGGTGGTAGGTTATGGTAGTAACAAGAAACACACAGCTACATTAAAAAAATAATTTTTTTTTTTACTATTTTGGGCCAGTTTTCCTTTGTTGATAAAAAAAATCAAGAGATCTCCATTACCATTTGCCACCAAATGAAAGCCCAATTTGTCCTGAAAAAAAACAAGGTATAATTCACCTGGATGTACAAAGTAGTTGGGATGATATGTACGGTTTTACTAACACATGCCAACGTTGCAAAATTGTGCTTAGGCATTTAGATTTGTTTTACCCTTAGGCGTGAAGGGGTTAAATAAATATACCTAAGCATGCAGCACTCTCATGGAATGCAGCATTTTGGCTGTGGTTGTCATTCCGGTTCTGGCCATTTTGCTGCCTCTCCCAAGGGGAATCATTTACTGTCATCTTGGCAGAAGACTGGGATATGGAACAGAAGATGCTCAAGTTGGTTCCACTTCTTTATCTGATGTATATGTATAGGAGGTCTTGAAGGCATGGCTATACCATTCATCATAAGTGATCTTGTAAGGAAAAGCAAACGTTTTCTTTGGTTTTCACACTATAAGGAGTGTTGATGGGATTGCTCATTTTTTTAAATGATTTTTTAAGATATGCATGTCAAAGAGATCAGTTCTGTGTAAATATCCTTTATATTTATTTTAGAAACATGGTATAGTTTGTGGTTATTCATTCTAAAAGGTGTTTACTTAGTGGAATCTTGCAAATGAAATCTGTTTCTGTCAAAAGATGTTTTTATTGCTGTCTGTGACCTGGCTAAATTGATGTCATTCAACATGAGGGCTGAAGGAGAGAAAATCAACGCAGCATGGATGGAGGAATTTCCCTATTATATTCCAGCAGCTGCAATGCCCGAACAGTGGATACACCCACATGGATGCATTCAATGTTTAACAATTTTCAATTTGGCCACTTCAATTATTTTAATCGACTTTTGTTGAGTCGGGTGGTCCCGACAATGGCAGTATTTCTATAAACAAAAAAAAAAAATATGACCTGTGTATGGCCAGTTTACTGTCCCTATGATGTCCATACAAGAAAGGGGGAGGGGGGTCTGGAACTGAGGGGAGCTACAGGTAGCAATAAAAACCCCTCCCAGTGATCCAAACTAAAAAAAGGCTTTAACAAAGCATTGATTTTCCTGAAGAAGGCTCACATTTCCTCTACCTGTGTTGCAGGTCACGTTTAATTTGCCACAGTTTAAACAGTGACCTTTTTTTTTTCATAAAGTCAGCCTGTTTCTTGTGGGTCCATCACGACTTGTCTGTACTTTTTCAGGATAATTTATTTCCTGCCGTTTTGGAAAGTAGCAGCTGTTCACCGCACACTGCGGGAAGTTTGGCATGAAAGCAAGCAAGGGGATGTTGTGCAGCCTTTAACTACGTGCAGGAGGTCCAGTATGTTAATTTTATGGATGAGACACGCTTTATCTTATTTGGGGAATTGTTAAAAATCATTAATTGCACAGCTGACAGCTTGGCACTTGTCTGCTGCTCAGCTTCAAAATGTTACTTTTAAAGAACCAACAGCTTGTTTTAAGTTTTCAAAGTTTTCTTTGGGATCTCAGACACTTGTATGTTTGATTTTCAGGGGGTAGGCTGGGGAAGCACAGGGCCATTAAATGTCTACCAGGGGAAGATCAAGGACAAGGGAAAGTTGTGGACAGGAGTGAACATAGACCACTGGGAACAGAGAGTGAAAGCTGATTATGGCTGAATGAAGGGCAAGGAGGCAAAGGGGAAGATGGTTGTTGATGTGGGTTGGGTAGGCAGTGCAGAAGCTTATTGTTGCCGAGGGGCACATGGGAGAAAGGAGTGGCAGTTGATTATGTACCATTGGATGAATTGCTGATCTGGAACAAACATGCAGGCAATGAAGCTGGAAAAGCCTGACCTTCCGTTCTGTGTACTTGAAAACTTGTATAGCATGAAGACAGCAGTACATGGCATTATTTTATATAGAGAAGTATGTTATCTATAGGAAAGCCTGTAACCTGCTAGCAATCTGCAGAGTGGGACTTTTGCTTTCTGTGTGGAAATAATGGTCTGTCTACAGCGGTCCGACATACTCCCTGCTTATCTAGCTGCTTCCCCACCGACCTATAGCAGATATACTGCTACAGGGAGGTAGGGGTGCGCAAAATCACGTATATATTCTGCATTTCCAGGTAGGGGGCGTGCGCCCTACCCACGCCGCTATTCATGGCCTTGGCTGTCAATCACCGGGTCCCGACCGGTGATTACTCACCCAGCACCCAGTGATCGAGGAGCATTACCAATGGAGGGAGAGAACTGTAAGTAAACAATACAGTTCTCCCCTCTGTCAGCTCCTGCACACTGCTATGCATGGCTTTATAAGCAGAGCCATGCAAAGCAGTGTGCTTACAGTGAAGCGCACGCTTACAGCACACAGTTACCCTTTTGGTCTCCCCACATGCTAACCCCTTCGTGCCCAGTGTCATTAGTACAGTGTCAGTGCTTTTTATTAGCACTGATCACTGTACAGTATTGGTATCACTAGGGATGTCCGTGACACCAAGTCAGGTCCCCCCAGTGTCAGAATGCCTGCCGCAGTCCCGCTATTACTAGTAAAAATAAAAATAAATCCCAGTATATATACCACCATTTGTAAACGCTATAACTTTCACGTAAACCAATTAATTTACACGTATTGGGATTTTTTTTTAGCAAAGACATGTCGCAGAATACATTTTGGCCTAAATTTATGACGAAATGTGATTTTTAAATTTTTTTTTTACTGGACATGTTTAATAGCAAAAAGTCTAAATTATTGTTCTTTCTCTCAAAATTGTCGGTCTTTTTTTTCTATACTGCAAAAAATAAAAAACACAGGCAATCAAATACCACCGAAAGAAAGCTCTATTATTGGGAAAAAAAAGGACGTCAATTTAATTTGGGTGCAGTGTTGCATGACCGTGCAACTGTCAGTTACAGTAACGCAGTGCCGTAACACAAAAAATGGCCTATTCAGGAAGTGGGGTAAATCCTCTGGAGAGCAAGTGGCTAGAGCCAGAGCTCTTCAATTAGTAGGGAGCATGTGATTTACTGATTGCAGGCCTATAGGTCTGACTCCGTAATTAGATGTGTCAGTCCTCTGCAGAGGGACCACTGTTTCCCCACAGAGATCAAGGGTTTATTCAGAAAGACCACTGCTTCCCCACAGGGAACAAGAGACCCACTCTGCAGCTATTGGCAAGAGACAGGCTTTTTTAATTAATGTGTCTTTTTTGGAAAAAAACATAAACAAAAAAACGTTGAACACCTTTTTGTTTTGATGCGTTTGGAATTCAGCTGCTTAAACCTGAAAGTTCAGTTGGAATTTAAGTAAATCAGTTTATAATTTAACAGCTTTACAGTTTAATCTTCTACTATATTTATCCTGTTTTTATCTATATTTGCTTCACTTTTTTTTTGGAAGTCATTTAATAGTTTTACATTAGATGTTTCCTAGGGATGCTGACCTCTCTAATTGCAGCTTGTTTACATGTCAATAAGGGTTAAGTAGAATTCATTACATGGATTTTTCTTGTTTCCAGGGCTGTTTACCTTGTCCGCCATAAGGAAACACGTCAAAGATTTGCAATGAAGAAAATCAATAAACAGAACCTTGTCCTTCGAAATCAGATTCAGCAGGCATTTGTGGAGAGGGACATTTTAACATTTGCAGAGAATCCATTTGTGGTCAGCATGTATTGTTCCTTCGAGACCAAACGCCACTTATGCATGGTCATGGAGTATGTGGAAGGTAAGGCAATACCATTTAATTAAAGATGCTCAGTACACTACATTTTCTATGGTCTATAATTCTTGTTTTATTCCATTGTGAAGGTAACAAAATAAAAGAATCGGATTGATCTGTATGGGCCATACAGACATTTCTTCTTTCAGACATATATCTTTATTAAGAACATGGCTTAAAAATATTGCAGTTGTTTAAAAGTGCTGTTGGTCATCATACTTTATATCATATAATCTTTTTGTGCTTGTATTTCCAGTTAACACCTGTGGTTGGTGATTGTTATTTTATTGGTCAGCTGTGAACCTGTAGTAATGACCAGGAGACGATCAGTGTAGTTATTGGTATCTGATCACTGTGTTAGTTAAAATGGTCTCAGGGAAAGAAGCTCCTAAATGTTCATTAGAATGTGTATCTAGCCCAGTTTTCTCCCCCTCTTTGTTATAGCTGTAACATGTAGGTGTTTTATTAATTGCTATTACCAAACAACAAAAATAAGGCAGTTGTACTTGCAATTTCATGTTTTCATAGGTAGGATCTACAAAAATTTAAGTAGAACTAAAGGGTAAGACTTTTTTTTTTCGTTTTGGATAGAGTAAGGGATAGTTTATAATCCCTTTAAGGTTTATTTTTGCCATATGTACCCCATTGGGGAGATTTCCTTTCGCTTCCTGTCCCTTAACCAAAAGAGGAAGTGAGAGAATCCATGGTTGTCATCATAACTAGTGTCCCCATTGGAAGATTTTTCCTAATCCTTCTCCACTTTATATGAACCTTAAAAAGAAAAGGTCTTTAGTTATAATGTAAACCATATTGACCATACACTTTATATAGAGACCATCACCATCAAAAGTATTTCAGTAAAACTTATCTGTTCTGAAAACAGGAAAATCAGTGTCAGTTGGGTAGACCAAAACAAGTGTCAGACATGACAGATCTCCAAAACCCCAAAACTGTTGTCCTCATGAAAATGTAAATCTGGCAGACATAAGATAAGGTTCAACTGGATCTAAATTCAAATTTACATCTGCTTTATAATTATTTTCCTTTTGTCTTCACCATCCAACAGTACCTGTACTTAGAGCAGTGGTCTCCAAACTGCGGCCTGGGGCCAGATGTGACCCTTTGCTTGCCTTTAACTGGCCCTTAGAGCACTTTTCCACCGGCTGACACCAGTGATGGATCGCCATTCCCCCTACTGATGCCTTAAATGGGGCACAGGGGCAGACTGACAACTCATGGGGCCCCTGTGTCCTTGCCCCACGCTCAAAAAAGCCTATGAAAAAGGTACCAGGGGCATCTCATGGGGCCCCCTACTGACCCCGGGCACTCGGGCAGTGCCCGAGTTTCCAAATGGTCAGTCTGCCCCTGATGGGGCACTATTCTTCTCATTGATATCAACAATGGGGCGCTATTCCTCCCATTAAAACCAATGATATGGCACTGATGCTGGGGTATTTTCTACTCCCACTGGTGACAGTACAGTCCTCCGAAAGCCTGAAGGACAGTAAACTGGTCCTTTGTTTAGAAAATTTGGAGATGCCTGGCTTAGATAGCAGTTGTGAAAATTCTGTAAAAATCCAAAAATCCCATTTACCTCATTTTTTTTAACTGCAGACAATGTTAAGGGTTTGTTTTTTTTTTGTTTGTTTGTTAGTTTTTGCTTGCATGGGAAAGGTGTACATTTTTTCTACAACTTTATGTCCTGATTATAAATGTCCCTATAACTGCATATAATTACATGCCCGTGTGAATGTGCAAAAAGAAGAAGAGGCGGGGAGGAGGACTTAAAGCAGAATGTTCCCTTTAGGGTGAAGTTCCGCTTTAAGAAATAACCATGCAATTTATGCTGTTTTTTGCTTGTGCTAAAAATTTGTATTTGGCTAGTGGTCTCTGTCCGGTATGTTTTATTATGATGGACAAGCTGCAAAATATAACTTTGCAAAAGCAGCACGGTGTGTGGCCAACATTATGGCTTCTCAGGGCTTATTGGGATGTCGAGCAATACGTTTACAATTTCAAGCCATCTGCATCTATTGAGTGTGGGTGATCTGATGGAGAGAGAACCTAAAATCCATGTCTACACTTGTGTGCCTTTCCCTACTAGAGTATTGTTAGACCTGCTGCTTTTTGTGATTGTTTCAGCAGGAGCTCTTTGTTCAGGTGCAGCCTAAAACAGTACAACAAAAATATTGCATTGATAATTTTTATAGGCAGCCAAGTGAACCTATTCAGCGTCAAGTATGTTTGATTTGATCTCTGTTGTAATTCTGCAGAATAACGTACTATGTTTAACTATTGTTCAGCTTCCAATAAGACTGCAAAAGAACAATGGCTGCCCTGTCTTCTAAGATTACAGTAACCTTTTGTTACTATAGTAACCAGCAGCGGTGTACACAATATAAACGCTAAATCGTCAAAAGAAATACTAAAGGGGAAATATCAGCATTGTGAGCAGTGTTTACTGTAAGAAAACGTTTGTGATCATGTGCATAGCTTCCTGAGTTGGAGGGACTTTCCTCTTTTCAGATGTAGACCCTCTTTCCTCCACATTTGTCCCTCATTTAGGTCTGATGTATAAACCTGTATAAAAATACACTGTATATCTATCAAAAAGTGTTTTAAGTGCTAAACTCTTCATCCTAGGGAACTTTAAGGGAATGGACACTTGGTACCCCCTATATGTCAAGGGGAAAAGTAGAAAATGCAATACGTTTTGTAACCATCCTAATTGATTGATAGTGGCCAGCCAGCGGCATGGGGTAGCACCCATTTCCCGATATGGTGAGAAGTGCTTCAATTGGACTACTGTTATATTTTTTATGTGGAAAGCTTTAAACTGGTCATAGAAAAGCAAATATTTCAGCAGAGCTCTGCCCTTTTATGAATACTGTGACCTTTTGCCAGACTCCGCCAACTGATGAATGTAGATGTGAAGAATTATCTCTACAGACAATACTGATTAACAGTAACACATGTGGATATGATATATGTTGATGTGTGGAAATTCTTTAGGATATAACAGATTCCATTTTGGGTTCTGATGTTATATATCCATTATGTACTACAGTTGTGTCCAAAATTATTCAACCCCCAATGCTGTAAAGGGGTTTAGGGACTATAGTGTACATTTGGAATTGTATTCAGAATCAAATCCTACAAGGACGTTGTAACTACCCAAATGCAACTAAAATGACATCAATTGTTTATGTAATACAGTAGTAAATGGTTCTTATGTGGTTTCTTCAATTGCCACAATTATTCAACCCCTTAAAGACTACCACTCTGAAGAACAGAGGTTCATACAGGTGCTTTCCATCAGGTATTGAAAACACCTGTGGATGTCACCGAGCAGCAATCAAGCATAATAAGCACCAATTAGGCAGCTTTAAAATGACTGTGATACTCAGCTCCTTCTAGACATTTACTGGTGTGGTTACAAACATGGTGAAGGCAAGAGAATGGTCCAGGAAGACAAGAGAAGAGGTGATTTCTCTTCACAGGAAGGGCAATGGCTATAAGAAGATTGCAAAGATGTTAAACATACCAAGAGACACCTTAGGAAGCATCATTCGCAAATTCAAGGCAAAGGGCACTGTTGAAACGCTACCTGGTCGTGGCAGAAAGAAGATGCTGACTTCGACTGCTGTGCGCTACCTGAAGCGTAGAGTGGAGAGAAGTCCCCGTGTGACTGCTGAGGAACTGAGAAAAGATTTGTCAGATGTGGGTACAGAAGTTTCAGCCCAGACAATAAGACGCACACTGCGTAATGAAGGCCTCCGTGCCAGAACTCCCAGGCGTACCCCCTTGCTGTCTCCAAAGAATAAGAAGAGTCGACTGCAGTATGCCAAAAGCCATGTGGACAAACCACAAAAGTTGTGGGATAGTGTTCTGTGGACTGATGAAACAAAATTAGAACTGTTTGGGCCCATGGATCAACGCTATGTTTGGAGGAGGAAGAACAAGGCCTATGATGAAAAGAACACCTTGCCTACTGTGAAGCATGGTGGAGGGTCAATCATGCTTTGGGGCTGTTTTGCTTCTGCAGGTACAGGGAAGCTTCAGCGTGTGCAAGGTACCATGAATTCTCTTCAGTACCAGGAGATATTGGATGGAAACGTGATGCAGTCCGTCACACACCTGAGGCTTGGGAGACGTTGGACCTTTCAACAGGACAATGATCCCAAGCATACCTCCAAGTCCACTAGAGCATGGTTGCAGAGGAAAGGCTGGAACATTTTGGAGTGGCCATCGCAGTCACCAGACTTAAATCCGATTGAGAACTCTGGTGGGACTTAAAGAAAGCAGTTGCAGTGCGCAAGCCTAAGAATGTGACTGAACTGGAGGCCTTTGCCCATGAAGAATGGGCGAAGATACCCGTAGATCGCTGCAAGACACTTGTGTCAAGCTATGCTTCACGTTTAAAAGCTGTTATAACTGTAAAAGGATGCTGTACTAAGTACTAAGATTGAATGTCACTTGGGGGTTGAATAAAACTGATAATGCTGTGAGCACAGAAAAGACATTTGTGGTTATTTCATTATAACTGTTATGTTATATTTGTCTGACCTACAAGTGCCTCTTTAATGTAAATGTAAGCAAGATGACTGAATGATCAAAAGCAATGTCAAACTGGCCAAAACACTCAATTTCAGTGGGGGTTGAATAATTTTGGACACAACTGTAAGTGCATTGTGTTTGGAAATTTACAATTTGGGTTTTCTCTGGTAGGAGGAGACTGTGCTACGTTACTGAAGAACATGGGACCTCTGCCTGTGGACATGGCACGGATGTATTTTGCAGAAACTGTTCTCGCTCTGGAATATTTACACAACTATGGCATTGTACACAGAGATTTAAAGCCAGACAAGTATGTTTAAACGTCTAGTTTTGTGAAAAGCTGAATGTTGCTCTTTGTTAGTTGTGTGGACAACTTGTGTTGTGATTTTGGTTCATAGACAGACTAGTTATAACTTTTATTTTGGCACAATATGTTTTTTCATACATTCATTAATATGTATTAACAGAAAGCAAAACACAAAAGTTCATAAATACTTTATGACTGCTTCCGTCTTGGTTTAAGACAAAATCTCCACTTTTTTTGCCTGTTGAATTTACCGTGTTCCACAATGGTTAAAAATAATTAAAATTCAATTCCAGGAACAAAAACTTTATATGTATTTTTCAGTGGCTGCAAAGGATATCATTCAATTTTTTTATGCACCAAATTCCTTTCCATATCCAGTTATTATCTTGTAAAATTAGCTGTGACATCACCACTGTGCTGCACCTGTTCAGATAACAGATCTGTGGATGACACCCACCCACTACAGACTGTCTTCAGAAAACTACAGGAGAGGTGGAGACATGACCAGTCACCCTACACTTGAAGAGAGAGCGCTATTACTGGTCTTTATTACAGGAGGTACCTGCACAGAGGCAAAGTTTCACAATGGATTATTGCTCAAATCTGGAAAAAAATACACAAATCACACCAAGATTCAAGTAAAAATGTACACTCACCTGCCACTTTATTAGGTACACCTTGCTAGTGCCAAGAAAATATCCCCCAGGCCATTACACCACCAGCACCAGCCTGAACTGTTGGTACAAGGCAGGATGGATCCTTGCTTTTGTGTTGTTTATGCCAAATTCTGACCCTACCATCTGAATGTCACAGCTGAACCAGTCTGCCCATTCTCCTCTGACCACTGACATTAACAAATTATTTTCGTACACACAACTGCCGCACACTGGATATTTTCTTTTTTTTTCGGGCCATTCTTTGTAAACCCTAGAGATGGTTGTGCTTGATTATCACAGTAGCTTTTGAAATACTCAGACTATCCTGTCTGGTACCAACAGCCATGCCATGTTAAAAGTCACTTAAATCCTCCTTTCTTCCCCATTCTGATGCTTAGTTTGAACTTCAGCAAGTCATCTTCACCGTGTCTGCATGTTTAAATGCATTGAATTGTCACCATGTGATTGGCTGATTAGCAATTTTGTTGCCAAGCAATTGAACAGATTTACCTAATAAAGTGGCCAGTGAGTATATATGCCTCTATGTGCCCAAATCATTCACTGCACATTGTGTCATGCAAAAACCACAACTAAACTGCCTACTGCCCTCCCCAGCTGCAAGTGTAAGCAAGACCTAATTTGTTTGCTCATTTGGCTGTACTTCCCCCCCCCCCCCCCAGTTCATTCTGCATGCCTGCGACCCAAATTCAGCTGACAGAAGGCTAAGGTGCACTGTAGGCTGACATCATTCAGCCAGTCCAGGCTGGGAGAAAGATCCTGACTTCAAAATCAGGATCCACCAAGTTCCCTGGACCGGCACCTGGCTCAGCCTCTCCGCGATCTGGTGAGAGTCTGATCCAGACGCTCTTGCCCCCTAGCTTGCTGCTCATTAAGCACTGAGAACTGAGCAATCAGCGGTCTTTGATTGCTCAGTTCTCAGTCTTAGAGTAGGTGGGGACAGGTGCACCTACCTAGGTAAGTATGATTTAAAAAAAAAAAAAAAAAAAAAAACACTCAACTTTTTTTAAGTTAATCCTTGGTGAATTTTACCACATTTGCCAAGAGTATCTTAGTACTTAATGGACAACTTTCTAAGTAGAAAGGGACAGCATACCTTACTCAAGTACTCAGCTACTGACTGTATGATCTGCAATTTAGGATTTGACACTTTCTCTTTATAAAACCTGTGAAAAGCATATAAATATATGTAGAACTAGTAAACTAAAGCCTGTTCATTGAACAGGACACAATGCAACATTTCTAGAAATATTTATATTGCTATAAATGTGCTACACAGGTACAGAGTTCAGCAGTAATGTAATGTATAACACATTATATAGAAGTGTAGCAATTTGGGATACATAGTATATGTACAGGTTATAGTGGTCTCAGCTACAGAATGTGATATACGGAATAGAACTCATAAAGTAGTGGACCAGAATATGTCATGTAAAGCAAAATTTACACAGCACACTTGACCACTGCATGTGACCTACAAAACAATGTACTGAGCATGCATGAGTGCAGTAGTCCAGACCATGTAACAACAGCACAGTGCACAGAACACAGCGTATATCATGTACAGCATAGCAGTTTCTCTTTATAGAACTCATGTGTCGCTGTAGACCGTACAGACCTATTTTTTGTTTTAGTGTAAAGCTGTCTCTTTGCTAAGTGCTCAATTCATTGACATTTAATTTGTACATTATCATCCAAACACCGTTTTTTCTTTTTTATCACGTTCAAGCAATGTCCTCTGTCCACAGACTTATGTTTCTCCTAAGCTAGGCTACCTTGTTTGAAATTTGTTGGCAGACCCCAAGTCCACATTAAGCTTGCTCACACAGTAAGGCCAGATCATCATTATTTGATGTAATATTTTATTAATTGTCTGTGCGTGGGACCTGCAGCTCGGAAATAAACCCGGAGTGCCCTGCTATTGAAGATTTTCACAAAAGAGAACAATTGCCTTCTCTTCACATTTGCATAGTGCACAGAACTTTATCTGCATGCAAAGCGTGTATGTTGGATGGGTTCTGTGATGATGTCAGTATGGATTAACTGCCGCTTTGTGAGTGGGGAGCTTAGTGAGATGGAATTACAGAACAAGTGACAGACAGGCAAAGATTGCCCAATTACAGAAGAGAATAAGGAAACCGAATCGGTTGCAGTGTACTTGGCTAATAGTGTGTACAAAAAATTAGCTGTCCTGAGTGATGAACATTTGTTTGGAATTAGCCATAAATGTTACTTTTCATGGTTTTCTGTGGAAAATGAGAGATTTAACGTACAACATTTATCTTAATGATTATATGAGTAATGTCTGTCTGCTTATTAATGAAGAGATGGTCAGTTTTCCACTTTCAGAGTTCATGAACAAGCCACCACACCTCTTTACATTTGATTTTCTTCAATGTTAGTAAATCAAATTCTGGTCTCATTCAGTGGTATTATTTTTGTTTAATTATAGCAATTCTATACTTAAATTCTGGTTTACAGCTCTGTTGCTGGGACATAAAAACATTGAGTAATAGACGGAAGAGAGTCCAGATTGGGTAATCCTCCACAGATATGTTAACATATATAGGTCCTCTTTAAAAAAAAAAAAAAAAAAAAAAAAAAAAAAAAAAGGTTTGGCTGCAATACATATTGTTCGGTCCTCACAGATAATGTAAGCAAAGGAGACATTCAAATGCATGATGACCCTCTTTTCTTCATACATATTTGGGAGAACCCAGTCTTTTCTGTGAACAGGCCCAAAATTGATAATATACAAGAGATAACCTTTGTAGTTTAAATGATAATGATACAGGGGATAAAAGTTTGAGTCCAGACCTACTAGCCGGTCACAAAACTTACTCTTCACCAGTTGCCCCACTCAACCTTGCCCAAGTCCGCCCCCAAACCCCACCCGACCCGCCCCAACCCTGCCCCCCCAACCAAGCCCCCCTTAAAGCTTATGAAATTACATTTTTCTTTAGAATAAAGAGTCCAAAATATAAAACTGTACACAGTAATGTATATCCCAGCTCTCCTGTACTCCATTATAGTGATATGACATGTATACAGTAATGTATATCCCAGCTCCCCTGCACTACATTATAGTGATATGACATGTACACAGTTATGTATATCCCAGCTCCCCTGTACTCCATTGTAGTGATATGACATGTATACAGTTATGTATATCCCAGCTCCCCTGTACTCCATTATAGTGATATGACATGTAAACAGTAATGTATATTCCAGCTCCCCTGTACTCCATTATAGTGATATGACATGTATACAGTAATATATATCCCAGCTCCCCTGTACTCCATTATAGTGATATGACATGTATACAGTATGTATATCCCAGCTCCCCTGTACTCCATTATAGTGATATGACATGTATACAGTAATGTATATTCCAGCTCCCCTGTACTCCATTATAGTGATATGACATGTATACAGTAATGTATATCCCAGCTCCCCTGTACTTCATTATAGTGATCACATGTATACAGTAATGTATATCCCAGCTCCCCTGTACTCCATTATAGTGATATGACATGTATATAGTAATGTATATCCCAGCTCCCCTGTACTCCATTATAGTGATATGACATGTATACAGTATGTATATCCCAGCTCCCCTGTACTCCATTATAGTGATATGACATGTATACAGTAATGTATATCCCAGCTCCCTCTACTATTATAGTGATATGACATGTATATAGTAATGTATATTCCAGCTCCCCTGTACTCCATTATAGTGATATGAAATGTATATAGTGTATATCCCAGCTCCCCTGTACTCCATTATAGTGATATGACATGTACACAGTAATGTATATCCCAGCTCCCCTCTACTCCATTATAGTGATATGACATGTATACAGTAATGTATATCCCAGCTCCCCTCTACTCCATTATAGTGATATGACATGTATACAGTAATGTATATCCCAGCTCCCCTCTACTCCATTATAGTGATATGACATGTATACAGTAATGTATATCCCAGCTCCCCTCTACTCCATTATAGTGATATGACATGTATACAGTAATGTATATCCCAGCTCCCCTGTACTCCATTATAGTGATATGACATGTATATAGTAATGTATATTCCAGCTCCCCTGTACTCCATTATAGTGATATGAAATGTATATAGTAATGTATATCCCAGCTCCCCTGTACTCCATTATAGTGATATGACATGTACACAGTAATGTATATCACAGCTCCCCTGTACTCCATTATAGTGATATGACATGTATACAGTAATGTATATCCCAGCTCCCCTGTACTCCATTATAGTGATATGACATGTATATAGTAATGTATATCCCAGCTCCCCTGTACTCCATTATAGTGATATGACATGTATACAGTAATGTATATCCCAGCTCCCCTGTACTCCATTATAGTGACATGACATGTATACAGTAATGTATATCCTAGCTCCCCTGTACTCCATTATAGTGATATGACATGTTGTATATACAGTACTTACTCCTAGTCCCTCCGAGTCCCCCGCGGCGGTGGAGAGGGTGTCTCTTCTCAGCGGAGGAGAGCGGTCCTCTCCTGCATCTGTCCCCTCAGCGGCGGTGCCACAGAAGCTGGAAACCCGGAAGTTGTAAACCGGAACTCGGCTTCACAATGAGGCTTGGAGCGCAGGTACAGTCGCTCCATGCTTCATCTGTGCTCGCCGCTCGCCACAGAGGAATCTCTTCTTGCATTTGGCGAGCTGCTTTTTCAAGCCCTGCTCTAGAATACCAATTAGTGGTATATGTACTGCAGGAAAGGGTGGGGACACCTTTCTACTTAAGTAAACTCACAAAACCGCTTGAAAGTGTTAGCAAAAAGTAACCTATAACACTAATCTGAGTAAATATTAAGTAAATATTCGCTATTCACAATGCCAATGGACAGTTTTGGAGGGCACATAAATAAATGTACACATGCAAATGGCTGCATGAGACTAGAAAACACAAACAAGGAGTTGAATTTGCATTAAAAAGGGGTACAGCATTTTAAGTAAAATTAAAAGCTCAGTTTGTTTTTCTTTAATCACAAACATGTTGTACTTGCCTGCTCTGTGTAATTGTTTTGCACAGGGCAGCCCTGATCCTCCTCTTCTTAGGTCTCTCATTGGTGCTTCTGGATCCTCTACCTCAATTGCTATGGGGGCACTCATGCGTGCCCACTCCTGAGCCCCGCTCCATGTGTCTATAAGACACACAGAACAGGGCTCGGCCCCGCCCCCCCGCCTCCTTGTCATTGCCACTGATTGACTGCTGCTTTATCTGAACCAATGAGGAACGAGAGAGTCGAAAGAGCCTTGGCTCTAATGCACATTGCTGGATCGGGTTCAGTGAGTATTTAGGGAGGCTTCAGGGGGAGCTGCATATATAAGGTTTTTTACTTTACTGCATAGAATGTATGGAGATAAAAAAAAACCTTCTGCCTTTACAACCACTTTAAGTTTGCAAACACTAGGCTATAAACAATTTGTAGAAACTATATTTTTGGTTTGGGGTAAATGTTTTCATAGAGTATTTATGGAGATTAGTATGAAAAATACATCTCTTGGATAGGATGTTTAAATTGTATAAATTGTTGAACCAAGTAAAGTTTATTTTTTGTTTACAGCTTATTGGTAACTTCCATGGGACACATAAAGCTAACTGATTTTGGTCTGTCAAAAGTCGGCCTCATGAGTATGACCACCAACCTGTATGAGGGCCATATTGAGAAGGATGCCCGAGAGTTCCTGGACAAACAGGTTGGGTATATTACAAATTTGTAATGTGCTGTGTATTTTATTTTGCCTTTTTGTTTTTAAGATTTCAGTTTCTTGTAAGATGTGTTGTTTTGTTTTTTTTTTTTTTTTTGCCTTAGCGTCGACATAAAACTAGAACAACAAAAATATGTTAGGGTTGCGCATAGCAATCATCGCAACCAGTCAGATTGCAGCAGTTTTTTTTTAATATTTCCTTACGTTCAGTTTTTGCAAGTATGGTTTTAAATGTTGTTTTTTAAAGTATATTAATATGGTGTGTGCAAGTTTAATAATTGAAATGAGGGTTGATCAGGCCACGACTGAATGCAGTAATGTAGCTAATGTGAATCAAAATAAGGGATTTTTTTTATGGGGGGGGGTTTCATTTTTTATATTAATTCAGCCACCTGGACTTTTCCTAGTAGTTTCACAGAAGGCTTCAGTTTAGTTCCCTGCTGGAATTTTCCAGTTTCTCCATCATTAGAGTAAATCTAAGCCAGGTTTTGCTTGTTTCGCCATCTGCTGGTGAAGTCTGGTATGGCAGCTCATAATGTAAATGATGTCTGCCTGAGTGTTGAGAATGGATGCCTTACATGAGAGCCATGGGCAATAGTTAAATTAACAGAAGAGGTTATTCCTAAAGCAAGTCTGTCTTGTAGGAAATTGAGTCATTTAAATATAAATACTTCTTGGTTACCGGTACAGAATTTCCTACTGTTCTTTATTATTCCTATTGTATAGAAGGCAGGGTTATTTTTAGCAGAGATACTTAAAAAATTTTCCTAAAAAATGTTTTCCCTACATTTCCTTTCCTTACATTTCCTTTCCTTACCTACCTTTTTAACATGGAGGATATGATTGCAGCTGACTGATGTTTTTAGACAGCAGAATAAAGAACTAGGTTAGACTGATATTCTCTGTAGACTAAAATTGGCGCTTATGATGCATTGTACAATTAAGGGTGCTAAAATCTTAGCCATGGTCCATTTGCTTTCTTCATGGCTCATTACTGTTTGTCCACAATCTGTGTATTCTAAAATGAGTTGGAAAAATCCATCTGAACAACGGCTGTACTTGAATTTATGTATAGTCTACTTCACCTTTCCTCCATTGTATTGACACATTTACAAACAGTTCACCATTTACTACTTATAACTGAAAATAAATCCTGTTCTTTACGATTCTAAACAGCAAGTGTATATCAAATTTATAATCCACAGGCACTAATCTGTTTCTTTAAGCCATATTACTATCCAAAGACTTAGTAGTTTTGTTTTTTTTGTTTGCTTTTTTGTTTCTTTTATCTTGTTAAATTTGCTAACTAAAAGTGAATGTTTATTTGTTTTAACCTGCTTGGTTGTTGTAAAAAAACGTATATTGGCAGGTTGTGTACTTGCTGTAATTAAGCATCCGTTTCTCATCCATCACTTGTCAGGGAACCTAAGGACCGTGCTTAATGTTTATATATGCTGAGCGCGCAGGGATGAGGCACAAGGAATGTTTATCAAACAGAAAGCTGAAATAGATCGCTTTATTTTCCACTTGACCAAAATTCTCCCTGCTGATAGAAATAATTCAAAAAGCATGGATCTATAAAAATTTTACATAAAAAGATAAAAACCATGGAGGAACTCAAAAAAAACTAAAATAAATTATATAAACCAGGGTAAATGTTTTCATAATCCAATGCAATCAAACCTAAGTGTCATTTGAAGTAACAAGCAAAAAGAAAGGGAACTTGTAGTTATGTTCTCTACTTTTAAGTATACTCCTTTTATGCTTCATTAGAAAATTAGACACCTGTGAAAAAAATCTCTTGTAGTTCAAAGCTAAAATTGATAATTATAGTGCTTTGTAGAACAAAGGGTTTGATCTGGTAGTCTCCATATGAGCTTACACTTAAGAAAATAAAACATTAAAAATGTTCAGAATTTGAGTTAGCTATGACCATTTGGAGAATGGTTGTAAAACAGGCATCTAGAGGAGCCGGTGAGCTGGAAAATTTGGACAAGTTTTCTTATTATTTTTATTATTATAAATGGACTAAGGAAGTATTGAGGCTCCTATGCCGATCTCCTTTTCTGGAAATACTAGTTTCTAGCTTGACATGCTGATTGTCAAGTTTCAGTAATTTCAGGCCTTGGTTACAGGGGTTTCAGATTGTAGAAGAGCAGTGTGTACAGGAAGGATTTACAGGGCATTTGCAAGGTTTTCACCATCTCAGAGCAGCCTTCATCTCCAGTATTGGAAGTTAAACAGAGCCCAATTGGAACACAGGCTGCCATTTTGAACAAGCAGCTAACTGGCTTCAGTAGTATTTAAAAACACAATTAAAGCCTGTCAGCAGTTTTTTTTTTTAAGTAATACCCAGCACTTCCATTTAGAGCTGTGTTTAACATCCTCAGACTAGAGGTGAAGGTTGCTTTGCTGCCCAACACTTGCTAAAAGCTTTGTAAACCTAGGATGACACTGACAATTACATTTCAGGTACTGAGAGGTTTAACTGCTCATCGGTCATGTGTAGTACCCTGAAATTAATGTGCTGCTAACTGTGGTGACTGCCAACAATCAGTTAAATTTCTGTAGCTGTAGCCTAAAAGCTTGCTGTGCACATTGCTTTTATACAAGCTGAAGCCCATGTGGACAACTTCTTGAGCTGGCCAAACACCAGTAGAACAGTAGAATTTTGTTCCACATTTTTGTTTTAAGAACATTTGTTTGATTCTCTAATCATTAGTGGTTTCAAATCAAAGTTCATATCTACTGCAGTGACAAGAAAACTTGAAGGAACAGGGTGGTAAGTTTTTCTTCAAAAGAATTTCTAACATTGCTTGTTATCTTCATTTGGGAAAGTGTATTCACTCCAAAAATTAATGGTAAAAGCTAATGAAATTTTGAAGTACTTTCAAATGGTATTCTTCAAGTCATTGAATGTACTAAAAATGTTTGTATGAGCATTTGTTTGAAAATCTATTCGTGTATGACCAGCTTCAGACTTTCTGACCCAGACCAGGTATGCACGTTTGCTTATTCATTGCTTTTCTATGTATAGTACACACTGTTCAGTATACAGAGTCTATAATATTAAAGGTTTCCTTTTTAGGTGAACATTGAGGCCTGTGCTGTTTGGGTGATAATTGTTTTTTTTTCTTTGCTTTTTAGGTCTGTGGCACCCCAGAATATATTGCTCCAGAGGTGATTTTGAGGCAAGGTTATGGGAAGCCAGTTGACTGGTGGGCAATGGGAGTTATCCTGTTTGAATTTCTGGTTGGTTGTGTCCCGTTCTTTGGAGATACCCCAGAAGACTTGTTTGGACAGGTTATCAGCGGTATGTAGAAGAATAATTTGGATATTAATAATATTTACTGTATTGTCGTAGGCTTTGTATTTACTATTATTGTAGTGCTTCTTTCTAGTCATCTAATAGTTAAGTGTGCTTGTTTTGAACACTTTATTTCTTTTAATATACCTAAGTAAATCATTCATGTTTGCAAGTACAACCCTTCATCTTTTTACCTTTCATGTCCTATCCTTTGAGACATTGTCTGAGGTTGGGCAGGTGACACAAAAACAGGGATCACACCTCTAGGAATCCCCGATTGTCAAGGTGAAGAGCCAGATTAATTATTTAAATCAGCGAGAAAACACATTTTTTAAAAATATTTAAATCGTGACAATAATGGTAAGACTGAATATTTAGTTTCTTGTATAAGCCTAGTCCTGACCAGTCAGCTTTTTAATTTTACCTTTTGAATCCAAAAGCAATTGAATATTTAGTCATTATTTCCATCTGGCAAGCAAGCTTTTCCCCCCGTGGTTAAATATGGATGTCCTTGTCCTGTGATTGTGCCTGTTTGTAGGAAGTATAGACATCTCTGGTGCTACCATAATACTATTCACAAAGAAAACCAAAAATCTATGTACCTACCATTTTGCTACCATAATACTATTCACAAAGAAAAGAAAAAAATCTCTCTACTTACCATTTTATCTCATCAGAGGTTGCTGAAATCAATTGTAGATACTGTAAATTCAGTAGAACAACCAAGATGTGCAAAGTGCAGTACACCATATGTTTCACACATCTATTTTTATGTAAAAGAGATCAATGAGAGATGTTTGGTTGGTTTACTGCGTTTTACTGAAAGTCGTACAGAATAAGCAAGTAGAGGGTTAACCCCACGATTTAATAAGAACAACAATTTAAAGAAATGGATAGTATTTTGAATATTTTTTTCTTTGACTGTAATGTAAATATATTTTTAATAGCTGTTAAATTTTAATTATCACTTATATTTTCAAGTTATTATTCTTAGGTGGTAGCTCTAGAGATGTGGTGCAGTGTCTGTATACAGCTTTTTTGCTTATTTTGAAATCATGGATCCACCATGCCTCAATGGCTTTCTTCTGGTGTCCATGTTGTTGGAGACAGTACAGAGGAGGAAAGGCACATATACTCATCCTGTCTACAGAATTGATTTAGCTGTTCTGCCATATGTTTTGCATGCCTGGCTTCTAATTAACAACAACAAATAGGGGGGATTTCCTAAAACTGGAGCTCACAGAATGTAGTACAGCTCTGAATAGAACCCAATCTGCTTCTGGGTTTTATTGTCAAAGCTTAATTGAACAAGCTCAAGTTTTGAAGCTGATTGGTTACTGTGCACAGCTGCACCAGATTCCCCCCATAGTGTATTACAGGCCGTGCTCAGTTTGTGTAATGTATACTACATGTAGTTGTCAGCAAATAGGTGGAAAAACATGTAACGGATGCATCAAATATTAGTATCTTCTTCTTTCATCAATTTTCTATACACTCCATTCTCTCGCCCAATACTGCTCTTTAAGCATTCCGGTTCTACTGCATGCACGGTTCCTCCCCAGCCCCTCTAAATACTTTCCTGAGCCTGATCTAGATCCCATGCTGTGCCTCAGAGCAGCAGATCTACCATTTCTCTTGTTCCTCATTGGCTCAGATACAGCAATGAAAGCCAATGACAAGGGAGTGGGGGACTGGGCGAGCAATCTGCCTGTGCCACTTGATACAGGGGGACTGGGCGAGCAATCTGCCTGTGCCACTTGATACAGGGAGGCTTGGGATTGAGCCTGCAAGTGTGACACCATGGGCAGCACTTCCTATGGTAGCACACCAAGAATAGGAGGAGCCAGGAGCACTGGCGGGGCACTTGAGAAGAGGAGGATTGGGGCTGCTCGGTGCAAAACCATTGTACAGCATGGGTAAGTATAACATGCTGGTTATTAAAAAAAATATATCATTTAGAATTACTTTAATCACCATGCTGTAGTGTTGGTTCTGGACTAAGTTGTGGTTTGGCTGCAATAGTGGGCAAAGACTTGACTGTTTTCTATCAGATAAAGGCAGTTAAATGCAAGTAATTATAGTATTCTAACCTCGTAAATTTAGCAGGTTGCTTGGAGGTTAGTTTTATTATCCATTTGGTTTTAGCACTGTAAAGGTTATCAGTGATATACAATGTCCAGCAACCCATTTCAATTTCAGATTTCAGGTTACTGGAGTCAGATATATTAAGAGAGGCATCCTTGTTGGTTTAGAGTTACTATGATTTACACATCACATCTTATTGAATAAGCATGAAAATGTACCAGTAGGTTTGTGGCGTTTTAATATGTTGGGATAAATTGCTTCACATACAATAATTATATTGTGTTCTGAGCAAATTTCTCTACTATTTTCCTCTGTGAGTTATGGCCGTTTAGCTCCTAGTATTACATTTTCACAGTGTGATATAAAATAATTTAGTTCCTCTTTGTGGATAATTCTGTAATTAAGTGTGTTGTCTGAGATTACAATTAGGACTGTGGCTAACACAAGCAGTTCATTATGTGTAAATGGTATAACAGAGCCAGAGCCGCTTATCTGGGATGTATATCCTCTTGGCTCACCACTGGATTACAAGCACTTGGGTACTGTTTGCTGCAAATAAAACAAATAGTCAAATAAACCCTAATGTGACGAACCGGGGCTCTCATAGTAAATAATGCAAAGCAGAAAGCAAACAAAGAGAAATCACAGATTGTTAATGAGTTCACTGAGGGTTATTACAAGGTAATGTTATTTATATAACAGCTGTTCTTCTTTCATTTAAAATTCAATAACCTTTCCGGTGTGAACCTGCAGGCTGACCCCAAGTACCATTACGCAGCTTGTGGCAAAACTAAATGATAATTAAGCAAAATCCCTTATTTCCCTACCTGCTGTTTCCACAAATTTCCCCAATGCATTAACAGGCTAGGGTTGTGCCAGCATGTCTATGATCATAATAGCGTTTTTTCAGCGTAATGAACTGCATGGCGCGTGTGCGCCACAATGCGAAATGCCTAAAACTAGGCAGAATAATAATTTTCATACAATCCATAACTGTTAACTTGAGTGGCAATATTTTTTATAACATTTTTAATTTTAGTATATATGTTGATTACTAAAAGCAGAATTTTTTTAAATTAAAATAACAAACATGCTATACTCACCGGCTCTGTGCAGTGGTATAGTACAGAGTGTCCCCGATGCTTCTCTTCTCGGCTCCCCTGCTGGCGATCCTGGCTCCTCTTCTTTGTGTGTCCCCATAGCAAGCTGTTTGTCTATGGGAGCAAATGCTGTCTGCTCACTCCCGACCTGTTTGTCTATGAAGCAGCGCTCCATAGACACACAGCGGGACTTCACCCCGCCCCCCACTTCCTCTTTACTGCTTTTGATTGACAGCAGCAAGAGCCAATGACTCCTGCTGCTGTTTGAGCCCTGTATGATGAGAAAGAGAGGGAGGAGAGAAGAGATGCAGCCACACACAGCACTGATCTCTTCTCCCCTCTTTCCCCTTCACACAGGGAAGGGGGAGCACAGGGAACTTAAAAACATTTTTTCCTTAATGCAAGCAATGCATTAAGCAAAACCAAAATGTTTTTAGGTTTAATATCACTTTCATTTTACAGGTAATCATTTTGTAACACCTTTAGAGTATAAAGGAAAAATACATTGGATATAAAAAGTCTACACACCCCTGTTAAAATGTCAGGCTTTTGTGAAGTCAAAAATGAGACAAAGATAAATAATTTCAGAACTTTTTCCACCTTTTAATGTAACCTATAAAATGTACAACTCAGTTGAACAACAAACTTAAATCTTTTAGGTGGATGCAAATATAAAGAAAAAACTAAAATTTTGTGGTTGCATAAGTGTGTACACCCTTAAACTAATACTTTGTAGAAGCACCTTTTGATTTGATTTCAGCCCTCAAGTCTTTTTTGGCTATGTCTCTATCAGTATGGCATATCTTGACTTGGCAATATTTGCCCACTCTTTCTTGCAAAAACACTCCAAATCTGTCAGATTGTGAGGGCATCTCCTGTGCACAGCCCTCTTCAGATCACCCCACAGATTTTCGATCGGATTCAGGTCTGGGCATTCCAAAATTTTAATCTTCTTCTGGTGAAGCCATTCATTGGTTGATTTGGATGTATGCTTTGGGTCATTGGCATGCTGAAAGATGAAGTTCCTCTTCATGATCAGCTTTCTAGCAGAAGCCTGAAGGTTTTGTGCCAATATTGACTGGTATTTGGAACTGTTCATAATTCCCTTTACCTTAACTAAGGTCCCAGTTCCAGCTGAAGAAAAACATCCCCAGAGCATGATACTGCCACCACCGTGCTTCACTGTGGGTATGGAGTTCGTTTGATGTGCAGTGTTGTTTTTGCACCAAACATATCTTATGGAATTATGGCCAAAAAGTTTAACCTTGGTTTCATCAGACCATAACACATTTTCCCACATTTTTACTTTTGGGAGAATTCAGATGTGTTTTAGCAAAATTTAGCCGGGCTTGAATGTTTTGGGTTTTTTTTTTTCGTAAGAAAAGGTTTCCATCTTGCCACTCTACCCCATAGCCCAGACATATGAAGAATACGGAAGATTGTTGTCACATGTACCACACAGCCAGTACTTGCCAGATATTCCTGAAGCTCTTTTAATGTTGCTTTAGGCCTCTTGGCAGCCTCCCCAGACCAGTTTTCATCTTGTCTTTTCATCAATTTTGGAAGGATTTCCAGTTCTTGGTAATGTCACTGTTGTGCTATATTTTCTCCACTTGATAAGGACTGTCTTCACTGTGTTCCATGGCATATCTAATGCCTTGGAAATTCTTTTGTACCCTCCTCCTGATACCTTTTAACAAAGAGATCCCTCTAAAGCTTTGGAAGCTCTCTGTGGACCATGGCTTTTGCTGTAGGATGTGACTAAGAAAATGTCAGGAAAGACCTACTAGAACAGCTGAACTTTATTTGGGGTTAATCAGA